GGCTCTTGTTACTGGAACTGGCTCTTCGCCCTCCCTCGCCCACGTTTACTTTAACTCGAGGAGAAAGAAGAGTTTACTTTTCCCGGTGCAGCCATTTATTGGCTTCTCTGAGCCTCCTCCCCACCTTCCCCCAAGACACACTGTTTCTGGCAGCTACAGTTTGACCCCCAAGTGGGTCAATCAGCTTTAATTAGAGCAGTCAATAACTGACAAAACAGTCTTTAGAAAAAAAAGAAAACAAAAGAAAACCCACCCCAAAACCAAAGAACCAGCACTGTCATGATATTTTAACTCTACCTCACCACAGATGTTCTAAAGAATTAAGAAAGATTAGCTAAAAATGTGAAACCTTGTTAATTTATTAATTCCTTTACCACATCAAATTAGAGGTGAGAATTGGGTTGATGGGAATCACAGACTGATTTTGGTGGGAAAGGACCTTTCAAGGCCATCTAGTCCAGCCCCCCTGCAGTGAGCAGGGACATCTTCAACCACATCAGGTTGCTCAGAGCCCCGTCCAACCTGACCTTGAATGTTTCCAGGGATGGGGCTTCTACCACCTCTCTGGGCAACCTGGGCCAGGGTTTCACCACCCTCAGTATAAAAAATTTCCTCCTTCTATCTAGTCTGAATCTCCCCTCTTTTAACTTAAAACCATTTCCCCTTATCCTGTTGCTACAGGCTCTGCTAAAGTCTGTCCTCATCCTTCTTATAGGCCCCCTTCAAGTACTGAAAGGTGCAATAAGGTCTCTCCAGAGCCTTCTCCTTTCCAGGCTGAACAGCCCCAACTCTCTCAGCCTGTCCTCACAGCAGAGCTGCTCCAGCCCTCTGATCATTTTTGTGGCCTCCTCTAGACCTGCATGTCTTTCCTGTGCTGAGGACCCCAGAACTGGACACATCACTGCAGGTGGGGTCTCACACTAGACCAGAGGAGCAGAATCACCTCTCCAACCTCATGAAGTTCAACAAGGGGAAGTGCAAAGTCCTGCACCTGGGGAGGGATAACTACCAACTGGAAAGCACCTCTGCAGAGTGAAGAATGGAGTCTCCAGCTGAGGAGATACTCAAAACCCACCGGGACATGGACTTGGGCACCTGGCTGTAGGGGTCCTCCTTGATCAGGGGTCCGGGTCCCTTTCCATCTCCACCAGTCTGTGGTTCTGAGCACAGGCCCCAGAACTGAAGAGAAGGGGAGGTGGAACCCTGCTTCCAAAATTCTAGCTCTGTTCTCTACCCATTATGCCCTGGGTTATAAAGCACAGAGAGACAGTATTTTATGGAAAATTAAACAAACAAACAGAAAACCCCTCAAGGCCTGCATTAATCTGTTGGTAAAACTTAAAATCAACATCTAAGAGCTGCTTCCCACTGGTTGGTACAGCAGGTTGCCTCCACAGTTACCATAATAAGCAAAAAAAAACAACCTGGAAGGAGCAGTCTGCTTGCCACTTAGGAATTCGTATGTAGAACTATAGTGTCTTAATTTTATCTCAAGCATCCCACCTGATAAAATAGTTTTCAATTTCAAGTATTCTGAAGTAGCTTCATACTAAGGCAGCACGGAACAGTTTAATATGTTCTTTCAAATCTCTAAAGCTCATTTTCACACAAAAATTGCTGTGGAAGGATGTTGTAGATCAGATCCTTGTGTCAATAAAAAGGGTAGAAATAACGAAGCTTATTTTCTTACCTTACAATGCAGGTATCGTATCATATCTTAGAAATAAAAAGAGGAGAACAGAAGTATCAGCAATGTATTCTTCAATTATTTTTTTCCCCACTCAAATGCTTACACTGAAAGATTCTCTTTTATTACACTGAACCATGACAGTGATTTCATAAAAGTCAGGAAATGTTCAGCACTTTACTCTTGCAGAACACACACACTCTCCTGTGGCAGGAACATTCACACAGGAACATGGATAACATGTTGGTGCTACGCATCTTTTAACAGCCCTTAACATCCACACCAGCGTTCACTGTTACTGCATAACACTCTTAAATCACAGATTTCTCATATATAAAGTTTAATGAAAGACATAAATAAAAAAAATCCAATTCCTCTTTTACAAATTAAATATTGTAATAAGGATATTTTCTTAAATCAGACTTGCATTTCAAATAAAATTTTAGTAATAAATACGGAGCTGCAAAGCAGAAAATTTAAGTCAGTTTTTACAAGGTATCACTTACTACAGCTACAAAACTGTGTTGTCTCAACCTGAAGATTCACAACTCTTTGGAAATATTTCTATACTTTAAATTCCTCAAACGAACCACAGTGCCAAAAAAACCCCACAACTCATCATCATCTTTCTAGTTTTAAATTTGTGGATCCAACATCACTGAGTTTAGAACTAAAAACCTGTTACTGCACTGTGATAATGTCAGTATAAAATGCATTTTCCACTCCTCAAGGATGAAGAAGTACAGAGGGGTACTAGCAGGTCTGGGCTAGCCAACCCCCACTTCACAGAGTCTGAAGCTGATAAACTCTTGAACCTTTTTTCAAAAGATAACCCTGATCATTTAGGGATCCAATAAAGCTTTCAAAATCAGATACCTGGGAAAAGAAAAGAAAGACCAAAATAAATATCAAATTGGAAGAATGAAGACATTTTTTCTGATGTAAAGCAAAATAAACCCTTTGAAAGAATTTGGTGAAGTGAGCTTAGAATAGGTTAGTTCCCTCAGCAAACACCAGTTGCACCCTGTGCTTTACTTACATACTTTATAGAATGCAGAAAATGTAGAGTGACCTGTGTACAAATCTAGATTCAGAAGCACAAGTGTTTACCAAAGAAAAGTCTGATTTCTACCGCTCACACCGATTTCCAGGTATTTGTTACAGGTATAGAACTTTAAATGGGCAAAAAATTATTCCATAGATGAATGGAAAATTAGAATTGAATTAGCTTTAAGAAACTAGTGGCTGAATGAACGAGTGATCACATGAGAAGAGAGGTGGCAATAACATGTTCTGCCAGAGAGGATTCACACCAAATCCTGTTTTATGTACAGCCAACATTTGAACAAGTCTGGTGAGTGAAGGCATCGTGCCAAAGTAAGTTAACCAGCTAACAGAAAGAACAGCATTATTGCCCATAAGAAGTTCCATAAAGAGAAATTAATTCTCACTGCTTTTTACTCCTTACACTGAAATCCAGTTTTAAGTTTTAAATTGGCATTTAAAGCTTTTTATCATGAAGCAAAAAGCAGAATTAGCTACTGATATTTTTGGCTGAAGTCCCTGACAAGTACAGAATGCAAATCAGTTACGGGATAAAACACATTTGAGGCCGTCTGTCCTACAAGATATGCCT